AGCAGTCTCATAGAAGCAGTCTCATAAAAGTAGACTCATAGAAGTAGACTCATAGAAGTAGTCTCATAGAAGTAGACTCATAGAAGTAGACTCATAGAAGTAGTCTCATAGAAGTAGTCTCATAGAAGTAGTCTCATAGAAGTAGACTCATAGAAGTAGACTCATAGACGTAGACTCATAGAAGTAGACTCATAGAAGTAGTCTCATAGAAGTAGTCTCATAGAAGTAGTCTCATAGAAGTAGTCTCATAGAAGTAGTCTCATAGAAGTAGTCTCATAGAAGTAGACTCATAGAAGTAGACTCATAGAAGTAGTCTCGTAGAAGTAGTCTCATAGAAGTAGTCTCATAGAAGTAGTCTCATAGAAGTAGACTCATAGAAGTAGACTCATAGAAGTAGACTCATAGAATTAGTCTCATAGAAGTAGTCTCATAGAAGTAGACTCATAGAAGTAGACTCATAGACGTAGACTCATAGAAGTAGACTCATAGAAGTAGTCTCATAGAAGTAGTCTCATAGAAGTAGTCTCATAGAAGTAGTCTCATAGAAGTAGTCTCATAGAAGTAGACTCATAGAATTAGTCTCATAGAAGTAGTCTCATAGAAGCAGTCTCATAGAAGTAGTCTCATAGAAGTAGACTCATAGACGTAGACTCATAGAAGTAGACTCATAGAAGTAGACTCATAGAAGTAGACTCATTGAAGTAGTCTCATAGAAGTAGTCTCATAGAAGTAGTCTCATAGAAGTAGACTCATAGACGTAGACTCATAGAAGTAGACTCATAGAAGTAGACTCATGGAAGTAGTCTCATAGAAGTAGACTCATAGAAGTAGACTCATAGAAGTAGTCTCATAGAAGTAGTCTCATAGAAGTAGACTCATAGAAGTAGACTCATAGAAGTAGACTCATAGAAGTAGTCTCATAGAAGTAGACTCATAGAAGTAGTCTCATAGAAGTAGACTCATAGAAGTAGTCTCATAGAAGTAGTCTCATAGAAGTAGACTCATAGAAGTAGTCTCATAGAAGTAGTCTCATAGAAGTAGACTCATAGAAGTAGTCTCATAGAAGTAGTCTCATGGAAGTAGTCTCATAGAAGTAGTCTCATAGATGTAGACTCATAGAAGTAGACTCATAGAAGGAGACTCATAGAAGTAGTCTCATAGAAGTAGACTCATAGAAGTAGACTCATAGAAGTAGACTCATAGAAGTAGTCTCATAGAAGTAGTCTCATAAAAGTAGTCTCATAGAAGTAGACTCATAGAAGTAGACTCATAGAAGTAGTCTCATAGAAGTAGTCTCATAGAAGTAGTCTCATAGAAGTAGTCTCATAGAAGTAGTCTCATAGAAGTAGTCTCATAGAAGTAGACTCATAGAAGTAGTCTCATAGAAGTAGTCTCATAGAAGTAGTCTCATAGAAGTAGACTCATAGAAGTAGTCTCATAGAAGTAGTCTCATAGAAGACGTCTCATAGAAGTAGACTCATAGAAGTAGTCTCATAGAAGTAGTCTCATGGAAGTAGTCTCATAGAAGTAGTCTCATAGATGTAGACTCATAGAAGTAGACTCATAGAAGGAGACTCATAGAAGTAGTCTCATAGAAGTAGACTCATAGAAGTAGACTCATAGAAGTAGACTCATAGAAGTAGTCTCATAGAAGTAGTCTCATAAAAGTAGTCTCATAGAAGTAGACTCATAGAAGTAGACTCATAGAAGTAGTCTCATAGAAGTAGTCTCATAGAAGTAGTCTCATAGAAGTAGTCTCATAGAAGTAGTCTCATAGAAGTAGTCTCATAGAAGTAGACTCATAGAAGTAGTCTCATAGAAGTAGTCTCATAGAAGTAGTCTCATAGAAGTAGACTCATAGAAGTAGTCTCATAGAAGTAGTCTCATAGAAGACGTCTCATAGAAGTAGACTCATAGAAGTAGTCTCATAGAAGTAGTCTCATAGAAGTAGTCTCATAGAAGTAGACTCATAGAAGTAGTCTCATAGAAGTAGTCTCATAGAAGTAGTCTCATAGAAGTAGACTCATAGAAGTAGTCTCATAGAAGTAGTCTCATAGAAGACGTCTCATAGAAGTAGACTCATAGACGTAGACTCATAGAAGTAGTCTCATAGAAGGATACTCATAGAAGTAGACTCATAGAAGTAGACTCATAGAAGGGAATGGGAATCGGCATTGAGTAATGAGCGGTGTCTCACCTTCGTGTGCCTCACCTCTGAGACACGTAAGGGACACACCTGGTGAGTGGGCCCCCGAGCGAAGTTTCTGTAGGTTGGACTCCCTTACCAGGTCCTCGTGTCGCCTGCTAGAGGCGGACTCCTGAACTGATCCTAACTCCCGTGGCTCGACAACACACTTCTATATATACACGCGCGCGCACGCACGCGGGCGTCAAGATTGCGTGGGTGTGCGGTTGAGTTGAAGTCCAATTTTGACTTCTTTAATGCAACGTGTGTGTGTGTGTTCATGTGGGGAGCGGTGGTGTAGCGGTTAGCGCGCTGCACTACGAACCCGGCCCATGCCGAGTTCAATTCCCGCTCATGGTCAACATCAGTGACCGATTATGTGAACCGGTCCTGGGCCTCCCCTGGATCGACTCAGCCTCAAATGAGTACTTGGTGCGGTGTGTAAACATCGCCACTGGGGAGACAAAGGCGGTCGGGAATGGTGCTGGCTACCCACCCCCTTCGTGTGCAGTGCCGGTCTTCATAGATGCTCGCTAACAGCACTTGCCCCAACAGTCTGGTAAGGCTACACGGGGGATCTTTGTCTTTGTGTGTCTCGGCCGTGGAGTGGTTTCGCCCTCTGTGTCTTTGTTTTCGTTGTTTTGTCCTTCGAACAATCGAGCATTGCTGTTACAATCGCCCCAATTCAAACTCAAGTGTCCGTGTGTTCACGCGTGTGTGTGTGTTCACGCGTGTGTGTGTGTTCACGGGTGTGTGTGTGTTCACGCGTGTGTGTTCACGCGTGTGTGTGTTCACGCGTGTGTGTGTTCACGCGTGCGTGTGTGTTCACGCGTGTGTGTGTTCACGTGTGTGTGTTCATGCGTGTGTGTTCACGTGTGTGTGTTCACGCGTGTGGGTGTGTGTTCACGCGTGTGTGTGTTCACGCGCGTGTGTGTGTTCACGCGTGTGTGTGTGTTCACGTGTGTGTTCACGCGTGTGTGTGTGTTCACGTGTGTGTGTTAACGTGTGTGTGTTCACGCATGTGTTCGTGTGTGTTCACGTGTGTGTGTTCACGCGCGCGTGTGTGTTCACGCGTGCGTGTTTTGTGTGTTCACGTGTGTGTGTGTTCACGCGCGCGTGTGTGTTCACGCGCGTGTGTTCACGCGCGTGTGTTCACGCGTGTGTGTGTTCACGCGTGTGTGTGTTCACGCGTGTGTGTTCACGTGTGTGTGTGGGTGTGTTCGTGTGTGTTCATGTGCGTATGTGTTCGTGTGTGTTCACGCGTGTGTGTGTTCACGTGTGTGTGTGGGTGTGTTCGTGTGCGTTCATGTGCGTATGTGTTCGTGTGTATTCATGCGTGTGTGTTTTCATGTGTGTGTGTTCACGCGTGTGTGTTCACGTGTGTGCATTCACGCGGGTGTGTTCGTGTGCGTTCATGTGCGTATGTGTTCGTGTGTGTTCATGTGCGTATGTGTTCGTGTGTGTTCATGTGTGTTTTCGTGTGTGTTCATGTGTGCGCTCGTGTGTGTTCATGTGCGTGTGTTCATGTTTGCGTGCGTGTTCATGTGTGCGCTCGCGTGTGTGTTCATGTGTCTGTGCTTTCATGTTTGCGTGTGTTGATGTGTGTGTTCATGTGTCTATGATTTCATGTTTGCGTGTGTGTGTGTTAATGTGTGTGTGCATGTGTGTGTTCATGTGTGTGTTTTCATGTTTGCGTGTGTGTGTTCATGTGTCTGTGTTTTAATGTTTGCGTGTGTGTGTTAATGTGTGTGTACATATGTGTGTTCACGTGTGTGTTTTCATGTTTGCGTGTGTGTGTCTGTTGATGCGTGTGTTCATGTATCTGTGTTTTCATTTTGCATGTGTGTGTGTTAATGTGTGTGTGCATGTGTGTGTTCACGTGTGTGTTTTCATGTTTGCATGTGTGTCTTCATGTGTGTGTTCATGTGTGTGTTCATGTGTGTGTTCTTGCGGATGCTCGCAAACAGCACCTGTCCCAACAGTCTGTTAAAGGCTATACGGGCGATCTTTGTCTTTGTTTGTTCATTGTTGGGGAGCGGTGGTGCAACGGTTAGCGCCACGCTGCGCTACGAACCCGGACACCCGGGTTCGATTCCCGCTCACGGCCACCAGCACCGGTCACGGATTCTCCGAACCGGTCCTGGGCCTTCCCTGAGCTCGACGCAGCCTTCAAAAAGAGTGCCTGGTCACTGGGGAAACAAAGGCGGCCGGGCGTGGTGCTGGGCACCCACCCACCCCCTCGTGTGCCGTGCCTCCCTTCGTATCTGCCGCTCGCTGACAGCACTTGCCCCAACAGTCTGTGTTGAGGCTTGCTTCGGGGTGGGTACTGGTAGGAACCTCCTGGTTATTACACCACCAGCCCACAGGGGATTATTGTGTCCGTCCGTCCGTCGTGCATCCAAAAATGGGAGGGGTGGGGCTGGGTGGAGAGGGGAGGGTGGGGAGGGGCTGGGTGGGAAGGGGAGTGTGGGGAGGGGCTGGGTGGGGAGGGGTGGGGGGTGGGTGGGGTGGGGCTGGGTGGGGAGGGGCTGGTCACCCCGTGGTGCCCTTATAAAACTCAACGTTTAATCTACTCAGCCGGCTTGTGCCCGCCCTCACAGTCGGACATTTTTGCGGAATACACCACGTGGTGCCGCCGTTGACCCTGGCCATTGACCGAGCAAGCCAACGTTCCTACCAGCTCCCTCCGCAGGAGAATGTGTTTTTATTTTTCTTTCGCATCTACACGCGCGTTTCTGCGTGCAGGTAAAGCAAAAGGTGCAAGAGCCGTTCCGTGCTGTGCGAATCGCGTCCCAAAATATTTCAAATCTCAACCCGGCAAACGTAAAATGCCGGAGCTCTCCGTCGAAACGTTTAGCTCGTAGAAGTGGCACGTGCACGTGCACGTGTGTGTGTGTCGAGGAGCGATGCTTTAAATCGGCGCTAGCTCAGCCCAGCATTGGTATCATCATCGTCGTCATCGTCGTCATCATCATCAGGCTAACATGTAGGAGGCTTTCGCGACCAGTATTTGTTCCTAATGAAGGTTGTGGGGTTAGATCGCGTAAGTGTGAATGTTGTGTCGTTAGCCTCCACCACACGACTCAGCCAGTAAGGTTTTCCACGTAAACAAAACGCGCTAATTAGTTACTAGTATAGTGTGTAGTGTATAGTGTAGTGTAGTGTATAGTGTAGTGAAGTGTATAGTGTAGTGTAGTGTATAGTGTAGTGTGTAGTGTAGTGTATAGTGTATAGTGTAGTGTATAGGGTAGTGTGTAGTGTATAGTGTAGTGTATAGTGTAGTGTGTAGGGTAGTGTGTAGTGTATAGTGTATAGGGTAGTGTATAGGGTAGTGTGTAGTGTAGTGTATAGTGTAGTGTATAGTGTAGTGTATAGGGTAGTGTATATGGTAGTGTGTAGGGTAGTGTGTAGTGTATAGTGTAGTGTATAGTGTAGTGTATAGGGTAGTGTATAGGGTAGTGTGTAGTGTATAGTGTAGTGTGTAGTGTAGTGTATGGTGTAGTGTATAGTAGAGTGTGTAGTCTATAGTGTAGTGTATAGTGTAGTGTGTAGTGTATAGTGAAGTGTATAGTGTCGTGTATAGTGTAGTGTATAGGGTTGTGTATAGGGTAGTGTGTAGTGTATAGTGTAGTGTATAGTGGAGTGCGTAGTGTAGTGTATAGTGTAGTGTATAGTGAAGTGTATAGTGTAGTGTATAGTGTAGTGTATAGGGTAGTGTATAGTGGAGTGTGTAGTGTATAGTGTAGTGTATAGTGGAGTGTATAGTGTAGTGTATATGGTAGTGTGTAGTGTATAGTATAGGGTAGTGTATAGTGTAGTGTATAGTGGAGTGTATAGTGGAGTGTATAATGTAGTGTAGTGTATAGTGTAGTGTATAGTGGAGTGTATAGGGCAGTGTGTAGTGTATAATGTAGTGTATAGTAATGTAGTGTGTAGTGTAGTGTATAGTGTAGTGTGTAGTGTAATGTATAGGGTAGTGTATAGTGTAGTGTATAGTGTGTAGTGTAGTGTATAGGGTAGTGTCCAGTGTAGTGTACTACTTCAGCTCACCGTTGTGTTGGAGAGTAAATCCACAACATTTACGTGACAAACCTTGCTGCCTGTGTCGGGTGGTGGAGGGTTACGACACATTTACACTTGCGCGATCTAGACACCTTGATTATCAATCATCATCACTGGCATCAAAAGAATAATAACAACAACAATTCTGCCCCCCTTCTGTTAAAGGTCGCGACGATGGGATTCATGCACTGGGCGGCATTAATATGATCACGAAGAATAATACCCCTACCTCCCACCCCCCCCCCCCCCCCCCCAAAAAAAAATTGTAATTTGATAAATCTGACTGAATGGAATAACTTGATACGGATAATTATCATCACCGTCTCTCCACATGGACAACAAAATTATATTCATCAAGCAACCCTTCGGTCTTGCATGGCCTTCTGCGAGCGTATCGCTCATCAGCAGCACTGGTTCATGAACGAGCACATCCCGATCGCCACTAAACTGCAACTTGGATCACTACCTGTGAGATCTTCACTCAAAACTGCTCTAGAGGAGTTGTACACCCCTAGCTGCCACTGCTTATTCAGTGGCCTAAAATAAAATGTTTCGCTCCGGATGACCGCTGCAAAGTATTTTCTGTATTTTGATTTAGTGTGCTGATCTTAAAGGTGCATTGAAAAATTTGATACTCCGACTGATGCTCCTGTTGTTGTGGAGTGACTCATGCAGCCAGCTATGGCTCTAGGGTTTAGTTATACACGTTGTTTATGTCGTTTATTGTGAAAATTCGGTCACACTTCCTATGATCACTGTTACATTGCTTTTATGGATTTATTTTGGTGATTTCGAAAAGTTTTTTGGTTTGGCCATGTCTGTTTGTTGTAGTACGGAGTTAGACTGATGGCCTTAATCTAAGTTGTCTTGTGATTGTTGTTGTTGTTGTTTGACTTGCATCCCACTGGGATTTTTTGCACACAGCGTTGGTGTACGGTGCTTTTTCAGGAATATTTTGATTGTTTTTTTCCTGGATTTTCTGTTGCACAGTCACAAAGTCACTTTAAGATGTTTTTCTTGTTCACGTTTTTGTTTTTTGTGTGTTGTGGTTGCACCCGATTCGAGCCGAATGGCTCACAGGGCTATACCAACATAAATGAAAATGAAAACTGAAATCCCTGGACTGGTTTCGACTTGCATTGTCCCATCAGCAGAGTGAGGCTTTGCTTGAATCAATGTTGGTGAACTGCCCAGATGTTTATAGCTCAGGACCGTTATCTATGGGAAACCATGGTGCCAGTAATCGGTCGATT